AACGCGCTTCCCTGATGACACGCACACGTGTGGTTAGCACGCGATGAACTGCATTGTGAGTGCGCCTAATGATTAGCTACCACAAGTGGACATATGGCTTCCTCGTATACGTTAATGCGGCATGCCTGACGCACACCCGCGTACTCCGAACTATGCGTAGACTTCCCGCAGGAGGAAGAGAGCACGTTCACCATCGTACACGAAATAGCGTTTCTGTGACGAACATATTAATCTTGTGTTGCGCAACGCCGAGACCCGGTTGTCGATCCCAGGCTCCAAACCATGGTTGCCACCTCATCTGGAAACTCCGGTTCTTTTTTTTTTAACCAAGTCTTCTACTGACTGCTCCAAATTTTAACGACCCTTCTTCTTAGTGCGCATGTCGCTTTTTCTTTGGTTTTTGGAAGGATATCTCCGGCAGGAGGACTAAATCTTTCTTTTTTTGTTTTTAGAGAAAAATATCTGGTGCGGATCTAGAAGATTCTGATCATATAAATTGGAATTTCAATTATTTCAACTAGGAGTCTAGTAGATTTAACCAGAAATTTTTGATTTGTCCATTTTTAACCAAAATTCTATAATTAATCTGAGACATTTTTTCGTGTATCAATTTCCGACAGAAGAGTCGTCGGTTTTCAGTGAAACACTAGTCGAAAGGTGGCAACCGTGACTCTAACAGCAAAGCATCGAAGCATACCTCTCGTATCGACCAGCATTTTTTGTCGATTGATTGAACGAATACACGCGTTGGCACGAACATGACGAATTTCGCTCAGTGTATCATCGAGCGTAGCCACGAAACCTTTGCAAAATTAAATGGGTGCCCCGAGATATGAGTTTTGACTCAATTGACAGGTCGTTTTTTCCGCCGGTGCGATGTTTGTTGGATTCCTCTTTTTTTTATACGGCAATGATCGATTCCATTGGAGATGCAAAGAACGCGAAACGTGAGAGATCTATGAGAAAAATAACACTCTCTATTTTATTTATTTATATGTACTAAGAAAAGAAATTGTTTATTTGACAAAATTCATTTAGTTTGTCTTCACTTTTTTTGGTTGGAAAATATATATTTAAGTCAAATATGTTTGACTTAAATGCTACTGAAAAAAAATTTCTGGTTAAAAATGAATCAGAATTTTCTGGTTAAATTTATTAGAATTCTAGTTGAAATAACCAGAATTCTGGTTCAGACAATATTTCTGATAAAATCTACTAAAATCCTTATTTTTACCAGAATATTAATCAGAAATTCTATTATAATTATCTCAATTAGAGTTCCAGTAGATTTAACTAAAAAAAATTCTGATTCGTCCATTTTTTCAACATAATTACTATTTAATCCGACCAGACCATTTTTCTCACTGTATACATTCTTCATTGAAAAAAATAAAGACAAACTAAATTTAATTAAACGAACAATTTTTTCGCAGTGTAAAAGTGGCTCTCTAAAAATGACCTTTAATAAAGTTGCGCATCACTGGACTACACAATTCCGATATTGTGGACCCTTTTCAAAGTGTACGTTCGTGTTCGCCATTATATTCACAAATGCAAGCGCATCGCGCCTCGTGTCATGCATATTTTCTCTCTCTCCTACGTCTCGTATTCTTTTCACATTCCTTCGACATTGTTATCAAGAAGTATTCGGACTTATCAGTCATTAAGTCTATTTTTTACATTTGAATACATTCTTCGTATTTAATCGTATTTCATAACTAGTGTACATTTTTTGCATTTAAAATAAAATAAGTATACTCTCAAAAATCTTTAGAGTAGAATCTAATTCTAAAAAAATGACAAAGAATGATGAGCCAATGTAAAAAAAAGAGTAGCTGAATTATCAATTTTTAAAAGTGGAATTTCACTCTTTAGAATTACATTCCACTCTAAAGATTTTAGAGAGTATGTTTAATATTGACAAAAGCGAGGAGAAAAGTTCTGATGCAGTCCGGCACAGCAATAAAAAAACAACGTGACTCTGTCAATTTTTATCTATATATGGCATTTAATGCTATTATGTTTAATTAAATTTATACTTTAGTAAATCATACGCGGCTAAAGAAGACTTCGTAAAGTCGAAACTAGTTTTGCTTAATTTTTAATATACCTAACACATTAAATACAATCAATAACATTTATATCCTTTATTATTAGTTTGCCATGAGTCGTTTTTCTCAATAGAGTATACATGAATAAAAAACAAATCTAATCTACTTGCGGGGATCTCGTATCATCGGAAATTCCATTTCAATAATACTTATAGGAAGTAGCATTTTGCAGAACGAGGATATTCAGCGAATTTTTCGGCAGAAATGCACAGCGACGTTTCGGAAGTCGGTCAAGCGGAGTAAGTTAAGCGTCGTCGTCGTCGTCGTCGTTATCGTCGAGCAAATATTGATTCGAGTTGTTTCGAGTTGTTTGACGTTGTCAACCGAAATCGCACACTACTCTGCAATTAACTAGTCTGTTATCGAGCGGCTGGGAAACTCGAGGGGTTAATTAGGGGTGATAAACCCGCAACCGCGGTTCCGTGCGCTTTCGCGCGTGCTTCAACCAGTCGATAAATTTCGATCGTCCGCAATTCCGTCCCGAGCATTGTCCGTGCGTCACATCGTCACGCATTGTTGTATCAGCCGCGTAATAATTCGTGTGGTAAACAGACCGTTCGGACAGCCTTTCGCGCGGCAATTTTGCAGAAAATTGCGGCCTATTCAAGCCGCGTTTTGACAATCTGTACCGTTCCATTCGCGCCTAAGTATAAGTTACGGGAGAGAAGAACCTTCCCTCTCCGCCGTTCGGAAAAGGGCAAATAAAATAGAATTCCGGACAATTGCGCGCATCGCACCCGCGCGGAATAATAAACAACCCGTTCAATCTTTATCTCCCCGACGATGAGAAAGCCGGCGATCAGAGAGAGCCGCACGTTTTCTGGCAGCGAGACGGAATCCTCGATGACACGATAAAAAAAAAAAAGACCGCGTTGGAATCCCGCTCAAAATCAATAAAGTTACCCCTACCAACCCCGCGGAATCGAAATAAAACGACTCGGCGATGTCGCCGAGTGGCGGTGCCGTGTCTTCCGTTTAAGGGAGGAGTGAAGGTAAAGGATCTCCTGGCCTGACTCGCGTCGGTTGCTTTTATTATAAAATACAAAGGACAATTTTCTTGTTTTTCTTCTCATGAATCGCATTAAATTATTCCGCTATAAATTTTGATTGACTGCCAAATAAAATTATCGGATTTTACCTCGTTTGTTGTGCGAAATTTTTCATCTCCACATCTTCGAAAAAGTTTCAAGCTCGTTTTACATATAAAATAAATAAACATTTTTCCTGATTGATTATAAAAGCTCGTCGGATTCTCTTTTTGATATAACAACGTGTTACGAAATTCGATTGTTCCAACTCTCCCTCCCTTTCAAGCAATACGTTTAAATGTATTATCTGACGAGGCAGTTAACTAAACTCTAATAGACTAATTATCTCGGCTGCTCTTCACCCGGGAGGCTGACAAAATTACGAATAAGTTTTCAGCAAATTACCAAACAACATTATTCCGCGCATTGCGCGAATATACAGGCGCTGCATGGAATTTGTTAAATTCGCTTGCAACCGAGTAATAATAGCAATAGTGGAGAAATACGCAGTGAATAAAATTCTCGTGGATTAACGTGCTCTGCTTAATTAGCCGGCATGCACCACTACGTAAAGGAAAAAACGCTTTATAAAACGTTTTTATTTATCATGTTGCAATTTCACTTTACATATGATTACTGTTTTATGCAAGCAGATTATTGTTTCACTTGATTTGATCATGCTAATAATTAAAGCATAGAGAAAAATAATTGAGGTTAACAAGAGTTACACAACAATTTAATTAGCTGCTAAATAACACGGTATCTTAAAACAACACCGTCATTTTCCGAATTTATTATTGACTTTTTAAATATTTTAATGATAAACTAGTCGGCTCAAAAAAAAAAAAAAGAAAAATGCTATACAAATCATTTGGAGAGAAAGAGAGAGACGCGACGAAAGAAGAAATTGACGGCATTTCAACTTAAGCACTCGCAGATTCGAGGCGAGACAAAAGCTCGGTTCTGTTTCTCGTGAACGTGAAAACGTAACAAGCCACTTGGCCACGTTGCATATTTCAGAACGGGCCAACTAGTCAGCCAGCCAGCATGCCAGGCAGACCAAGTCCTTCACTGGAAAATCCGGACGAATATAGAGTTCGTTATGTAAAATCCAAACCACAATGTCGGAGAGATCGCTAATTAAAGAGGACTTAATTGTCGTTCCATCGAGCTACGCCACTCTGTTGCCATCCCCAGAATAGAGAGGAACAAAATAATCTCTTTCTCCATCTCCCCCCCCTCTCTCTCTCTCTCTTTCTCTCTCAATACAAATCTTTAAATATCAATAATTTGTGTATCGTTCGAGAAATTTTCGTTTCAATATACGAGTCGCGAAAGTTCCCTTGTACCCATAATTAAACTGAGAGAGTTTAAATACATTATAAACAAGCTCACCTCAAAGTTTCGAGCTCTCTGTCTCTCACTTCGTTAATAAGTTAATACACGCTTTAAAGTCCATAAACTGATCTCAGTGTTTGCATGCACGGAGGCAAAACTTGGCGATCGCCGGTGAATTGTTAATAAAATAAAAGCTCCATGAGAGCCCCCCCCCCCCCGCCGAAGGATGAGCTAGATTTACTTCCAAGTTGTTGACGTCACTACTTTGATGTATCAATTGATAAATTAAATATCCGATACTGGAGCTGACAGTTTGAAAATATAAAAGGATTTCAGCGACAAGAATGTTTTTTGCCCTTGCTCAGTTCTCATACTCATGTCGTTTTGTATTTACGCTGATTTTTTCATGTAATAATTAATATAAACGCAATAAAATGTGAAATTGCACTAACTGTTTCGCCAAGAAAAGCGCGTTATATTATCTTTAATCACGAGTTATAATTATCGAGAATAAGTGACTCACCTCACGGAGCTCCTTGATTTTCAGACCTCCTTTGCCGATGATGCATCCCGCTTGACTCTGGTGCACCAGCATGCGCACGTCGATCTCGTCGCTGCCATGGCGGGAACCATTCTGAAATCGTGTCTACAATAAATCGTGGAAATTTGAGATACGTTACATTTACGGTAGAAAGAATCGATCGTCGCGATCCCGAACGAACTGGATTAAGGGGAACATGAAAGCGCGCGGTATCACGTACAAACGATTAAAAAAAAGACAGATAAAGTGTATTTACGATGTTAAAAATCGCTTCGAGATCTCGGACGGAGAATAAATTGACTAATCACATTGGTCAAATGGCCAAATTGTCCACATGTCAATTCTTTCTCCATCCAAGATCTCGGAGCAATTTCTAATAAGCATAATATACTCTAAAAATATCAATGTAGATTTAATGTCATGTTTATATAATTCTCATCATGGTGTTAATATTAACACCAATACAGGGAGAATTATAGATACTCGTGATATTAAATTTACATCGACAATTTTTAGAGTGTAGATAGAAGGCCTTTAGGATAGGAGTCCAGTACTTACCTCCTCCAGATTAGGTACGACCTCGTTCAACACTTGCAGAACAGTGGGCAGATCCGAGCTGATGGTGAGCACCCTAGAATCAGAAGGACCCCCAGAATTACGCTGGTCTTACCGCTGCGTGCTTCGCGTACGTGCTATATCGACCATACAACCCGGTGCGAATGACGTACGTGCGTACGAGAACGCGTCGCGTTTGTGATTACATCAACCAGCGATGCCACC